ATATATATATATATATGTACGACTTAACGACTGTGCCACCAAGGCTAACTCTCTACAGAAGCAGACTATCACATTTTTCGTCCTTGGAGCCGCTGGTGGTTTAAGCACTGACCTTTCAGGTAGCAGTCAGTCGCTTTAAATACTGCACCACCAGGGCTCCTTGAAAACAATATAGAAATAATAATAACAAGAAAAACAATTTAAAAAACCCAAATCCATTACCGTTAAGTCAATTCCAACTCATAGCCACCCTATAGGACAGAGTACAACTGCCTCATAGGGTTTCCAAGGAGTGGCTGATGGATTTGAACTGCTGACCTTTTGGTTAGCAGTCTGACAACCACTCTACCAGGGCTCCATATTTGTATACATATATATAATATTTTAATCTCACCCTATCTCCAAACTTGCAGTTAATGGCACCACCATACACCCAGCTGCTTCTTTCCAATTCTTATGTCCATTTTTTTTTAATCTTTCTCTCACACTCACATGCCATTCATCAGTGGTATTGTCAGATCTACTTTCAAAATATATTTCAAATATGACCACTTTGTTATATCTCCACCATCAACATCATAGCTGAAGCTTCCATTATCTCTCACCTAAGTAACTAAAATAGCCTTCTAACATATCTTAGTGCTTCAACTCTTCTAAAAAAAAATCAGGATGCACCTCTCCATAAACACAACTCTTTGATGGATTTGTATTACAAATAGACTGAGAATCTGAATATTTATTAGGTCCACAGTGCTCTCAATGATCTCATCCCCCGCTACCTCTCCAAACTCATTTTCTGCCAATTTCTTCTTAATTCATGTCAACCATACTAGCCAACTTACATTTCCTACTTAGTCAGTAAGGTCCTGCCTTCTTTTATAAATCATAGAGTATATTAACATATATCAGTATAAATTATAGAAATGAATCAGTGTTTACTAACGGATCATATTTGCAATCTTATATCAATTCAAGTACATAAATGAAATTTGAAATAAATCAGGAATAAAGCAAAGCTCTGATATAGGGCTTATATCAAGCTACTTGGTCATGTTCGTAGCCATTAAATTTATGATTAAGAGTATAATATTTGCTGTACGTGAATAACAAGTTTCTATGTCATTGATAAATAACTACACAGATGATCTGATTACAAATTATAAGATGGCTAATTTTTCAGTTTCCAAAAGTTATATGTGGCCTGATTGTTGATATTCTAAAGCTGAAAGAGTAATTTAAATTTCCTATGCTTAAATTTTCCAATTAAAAACAGTTACTTTATAATAGTTCATGAGGAAAAAGTAGTACTAATTTATAGTATATATTCACTTTGGCACTTTTTTTTTTAATGTAAAAGCTTTCACATAAACATAAAGATCCAAAAGGCAAAAAATTGAAACCTCGACTAAACTAAAAAAATGGAAGCCTCGCTTTCCTAGACAACTGTGATGTTCTTTGAACACCTAGTGAAGCAAAAACAAAAAAAAGTATATATATCTATACACATATATGTGTATAGATATATATATATATCAACACCACACCTCTTACCGTTCACTTGGAAGATGTGAGTCTGATAGACGTGTTCATAGCCCTCCGCATAGCAGGTATAATTGCCCATGTGAGTTGTGGTAACCTTAGTTATATACAAAGACCCATCATCTCCAAAGTCCTATAGGAAAAAGCAAAATAAAATAAAATGAAACAAGATTTTGCACTTGAAATGTATTGTAAAAGTACATTTTAAAGGTGTATTTTGGAGCCAAGTAAATCAACTAAAACATTGTTTTAAAATTATCAACATGATCATTGTTAGGCCTATAAAGTGGAGGACCTATAATTACCATTTTCTCAAGACATGTTTTGTTTAAAAATTGTACTCTCACTCATGAATACAGCTTTTAGATATTTATTATAAATACATGAATTTATATATAAAGTAATTTAAAGTCCATATATTTATTTTATTTTTGAATTACACATTTAAGATTAATAAAGTTATAGCATACATTTTCTAATTTGTAGCTAAAATGAACAAAACAGCTCTTAATCATATTCTTCACACTTGTAATTATCTATTAATTTTTAGGACAAAGTACAACTGCCTCATAGGGTTTCCAAGGAGTGGCTGGTGGATTTGAACTGCTGCTACAATAGCTCTTAACCCCTGGGTCACAAGGACTTGTTAATAATATACATCCACAGATAAGATCACTAAAACAATGTGTTCTTAAGGGAAAAATTTACAGTCATATTAATATAATTTTTTTTAAGTCCAGAAATAAACAATACATTAGAATAAAAGAGCCATACCATTTTAAACCTCTGGGGACAAATATATAACCATTGTGGAAGGGGGGAAGAAAAACAAAATCGTTCTAGCATTATCAGTCAAAATCAAATCCAAGAAGTACCCCTATAACAGCAGAGTAAAGGCTTCAGAATAGGCAATGAATGTTGTTAGGTTGTTAGAGACCACTGAGTTGAATTTCAACTTGTAGCGACCCATGTAACAGAGTAGAAATCCCTCATAGGGTTTTCTAGGCTGTAATCTTTATGGGAGCAGATCACTGGCTCTTTTTCCAGCTGAGCCACTGCGTGGGTTCAAACTGTCAACCTTTTGGTTAGCAGACTTCTGCTCTTTAAGCAACGAATACACTGGCAAGAATTGTCCAAATCAACATTTTAAGATGGAAATTAAACAAAGGCTTGCAACAATCCACGGAGTACTTATAAAAGATTGCTGAACCTTGGTAAGAAGTGATCTTTGTTGTATTTTAACTTGTCCTATATACCCCTTTTTCACAGCTTCTAGTGGCCTTGAAACCAACAGTCTTGCGCTAGGCTAGCTGTGAAAACCACCATGCGTAGCAGACACTGCACGGGGAAGAACAGATTCAGAGTTCTCCAATGGCCCCATCCACAGAAAATTGCCACTGTTTGATTTGTCTGGCAGCTTCCTGAAAACCTCCATTCTGAGTAATTTTCTTTATTTGAGCAAGACTTAAAGCTTTCTCTGTGTGATAAGTCCTACCCTTAAGGCCCTTGTTGAAAAAAATCAGCATAAATTGTTTATCCTCACAGTTTCCTGTGGCAGAGATCCAGGTTGAGTATGACGATAGGCTGAGCAAAAAAAATTAAAAGGAAAACTGGGAAGAAGATGTCCACAGGGGACTAGGAAAAGCTCTGCACATTCCTGGGAATTGAGAAGGCATGCACCTGTGAAGAACAATGCAGGTGCCCCGCAACCACCTGAGAATTCCTGATTTCTCATCTCTGGCTGACCTTGAGGCTCCGCACAAGCAGAAAGTGAAGGCTAAGGCAAATTGTGAACTGCCTGCAGGAGCACTGAATGCGTGATATCAAACAAAGCGCTTCAGCAAAGCCTGGGAGATTGAATGATTCAAGGAATTTAAGGAAATCTCTCTCCAGTCATTAGCTGACCACTAAGGTAACGAGAAAAACTTCCAGTGGATATACATAGCCAAGAAGAGACTTTACAGAATTAGTATGGGGGGTCATTAAATACAGTGACAACAACAATAAACATCAACAACAGCAAATCCAGGAGATGGGACAGGGAAAGATTATATTCCTGTGGTTGCCACATTATATCACTTAAAATGTGTAGTTTTCAGCAAAAAAAAAAAAAAAACAATAAATGAAACGTAAAGAAACAGGAAACTATATCCCACACATACATACACACACACACACAAAAACAAGTCAGCAGAGGCTGTCCCTGAGCAATCACAGAAATTGGGCCTCTTAGACAAAGATTCAAATTTAGCCGCATAAATATATTCAAAGAACTAAAGAAATTTATGGCTAAAAAATTAAGGAAACATATGGAAATAATGTCTTACCAAATAGAAACTATCGATATAAAGGCATAGAAATTATATCTAAAAAGCATTAAATAGAAATTCTTGATTCAAAGTACAATAATTGAAATGGAAAATTAACTAGAGGGGCTCAACAACATTTTGAAATAGCAGAGAAAGAATCAGGTAACTCGAAGATAGGTCAACTGAGATTTTCCAGTCTGAAGAGCAGAAAGAAAAAAAAGAAAGAAAGAAAGAAAAATGAACAGAGATTCAGAGACTTGTGGCACCCATCAAGTGTACCAACATATCCATAAAGGAGTTTCAGATGAGTAAGAGAGAGAGAAAAGGGAAGAGAGAATATCTGGGGAAAAAATGGTTGAAAATGTAACAAATTTGATGACAAACATTAATCTGGCCATATACAATCAACAAGCTCCAAGTGGGGTAAACACAAAAGAGCTCCACATCTAGATACATCATACTGAAATTGTCAAAAGCTAAAGCCCGAGAGAATCTTGAAAGTAGTAAGGGAAAATTTATTTATAAGAACTATGAAAATTTTAGAAGAAAATCTTCATAACCTTGGATTAGGCAATAGTTTCTTAGATATGACACCAACATACAAGCAACCAAAGAAAAATAGATAAAATGGATTTTACTAAAATTAAAAGAAAAAAAAAAACTTTGTACCTCAAAAGACACTCTCAGGAAAGTGAAAAGACAGCCCACAAAATGGGAGAAAATATTTGCAAATCATATGTGAGGAGGGTTTCATATCCAGAACACATAAACAACTACTACAATTCAACAGTAAAAAGACAAATAAAAAAATTAAAATAATGGATAAAGAATTTTAATAGACATTTCTCAAAAGAAGATTTGTAAATGTCCAATAATCACATGAAAAGATGTTCAGTGTTATTACTTAACAGGTAAATGCAAATCAAAATCACAATGTTATATGACTTCACACCCACTAGGGTGGCTAAAATAAAAAAGACAGATGATAAGTGTTGATGAGGAAGCAGAGAAACTGGTGGGAATACAAAATGGTGCATCTGCTTTGGAAAACAGTGTAGCAGTTCCTAACTAGTTCAAAGTAGAGTTACTATTGTTCTTACTGTTGTTTGCTGTTGAGCCGATTGTAACTGACAGTGACCATATATGACAGAGTAGAACTGCCTCATAGGGTTTCCTAGGCTGAAATCTTTATGGGAATAGATCATCAAGTCTTTTCTCCCGTAGAGCCACTAGTGGGTTAAAACCATCAACCTTTCAGTTAGTACCCAAGTGTTTAACCATTGCATCACCAGGGCTAGAGTTACCATAGGATCCAGCAATGCCACTCGTAGGTATATACCCAAGATAATTCTAAAAATATATCTACACAAACTGTACATCACAGAATTACTCACAATAGCTCAAAAGTAAAAACAAACCAGGGCAGAGCCAACATAGTGCTATAGACAGAAGCACCACACCGTCCCTCCACAGCAAAGACCCAAAAAACTAAGTGAAACAGAGACAAACATCAATCTTGGAACCCTAAGTGTCAAACGAAGAGATAAAGAACTCAGTCAAACACCAAAATGGAATAAGAAACTGACAGAGAACAGAGAATGAGAAGAGATAAGAGCGGAGGTCTCCTATCAGCTAACGCAGCATCTTGCCATCTTGGACTCCTGTCAGAGATCAGTGGACAGGGAGTATGGGAAAGCAGCTTCATGGAGCTCCCAGCAGGAGACAGAGCACGCAGTAACCAGCAATATACACTTTCTCAACCCCCAACTTTCTACCCCTTGCTCAGCCTCTGCCACTTCCCGTCTGGCTACAGTCGCTGGGCCAGGAGGCACCAGCTCCCTGCCACTTGGATTTGACCCGCCCACACTGGCTGGATCCTTCAGTGCCTTTTCTTTGTTGCTCGTGCTGCTTCTTTTGGCTTCCTTGGGTTCCTTGCCTACCTCTCACCTCTGACTACTTTCTCTCAAACATTTGGCTCTGTGTGCCCTCTTTGTTTTTTTTTGACAGGCTATGAAATGCTGCTCCGCTGGAGAACGGCTTCCCTGGTCCATGCCGCCATGCTGGTGGGATCCCCGGGGCCTTTTTTATTTGTTCTTGTTTTTGTTTTGTTTGTTTGTTTTTCTTTTTCTTTTCACAGCTTGGGAGACTTCTAGCTGGGCTGTACTGAGTGAATTGGGAGCCACTTCCCCAGTCTGCACAGCCGTGCCCACAGGATCTCTGCAGGAATTACATTTTTTAGTTCTTTCCTTTTTGCTTTTCTTCATTTCTCAGTTTCTCATCTCTCTCTACTTACTTTCTTTTCCGGTGTCCTGAATACCTGGTGCTGTGTGCCATCTCTGCCTTTCTAGCTGGGCTGTACTGTGTGGCGTGGGAGTCAATTCCCCGGTCTGCGCAGCCGAGCAAGTGGGATCCCTGGGAAACTTTTATTTTATAATTATTATTATTTTTAATTTTTATTTTATTTTTCATTACTCTTTTCCTTTTTGTTTTTATTCATTTCTCAGTTTCTCATCTTTCTCTGCTTTCCTTCCCTTCCTGTCTCCTGAATACCTGGTGCTGTGTGCCATCTCTGCCCTTCTAGACAGGTTGTGCCCCAAGGCTTGGGAGCTACCTCCCTGGATGCTGGTGGGATCCCTAAAGGTTTATCTTTTTTTTTTTAATTTTTTTTTATTTATTTTTCTCTCTCTTTTTTTTAATCCTTTTTGTTTTTCTCCATTTATTGGTTTCTTATCTCTCCACTCCAATGGCAAGCTCCCTCAGCACTTGTTTGTTTGTTTGTTATTTTGGCACCTGTTTCTCTCTCCTCTCTCTCTTCTTTCCTATA